TGAACATTTAGTGCAGATTTTCAAGCTTCTTTACTTCGAGATTACAGGGTCATTATACTAAGATTAAATATTTTTAATTTGTCATTTTTGGAATATTGAAAACACACTTGAAAAGTTTCCCGATTCAATACAATCAAGTTATGCAATAACAGATTATCGTGTTAACATACCAAGTCCTTCATGATTGTTTTCATTCATTTCAATGGAGATTACTTAAGGCGTCCATTTACTTTCCAAGTAATATGTAACAAATTGTATTGGCTTTCATAGTACTATTAGAAAGCAATAATCTCTAATCTGACCTATGCGGATTCATGCTTTTCTTTACAGGCATTAGTGCAAAGAAAATCCAATTAGTCTAAATGTGAATCTAGTTCATCGATGCTACTTTCTATGAGTTTAGAGCAAATTTGCAACTTCATCATTTATATTACGGAATATTTACAAAAGAAAGGAAAAGCGAAGGAAAGAAATGTACCTGTATCAACTACTCTCACAAATTGGTTTGTGAGATGAGCTTGCTTACTATTGTGCCATGGTAGGCGTCTTTTAGGTAGCTAATTGATGAACTGAAAGAGGAAGGAATTTTCTGCTGCTCTCGTTATATCCGATTCAAACGAGTTGTTTCCCGTTAACATTTCTGAAATGTGTTTATTATTTATTTACTGATTAATTTTTTTCTGATGTTAATAATAATAATAATAATAATAATTCTGCTTTTATATTCTGCATTTGTGAGTTTGTGATAAAGTAAGAGTATATATTGCATTTAGAAATACGATATCAACAGAAAATCTCCTATTCTGTGAGAGGCTTTGAAGTATCTCTCAACTTTAGAACATTATAAACAGGAGACCCGAGATTTTTGAATTTGTGGCAATTTGAAATTTGATTTTGAAAATAACCTTTGAAGGATTCAAACTAGCACGGATTCGATACACCAGGAAAATCCAGTATTTTTGTATGAATTTCAGTTTCTTAATCTTATATGATTAACTTGCAAGGTGGAATTCCGACTAGCCAACATAGATTTTTACTGAGCTTAGTGGCATAGAGCCACGTAGGGAGAATAATGATTATGTAATGCCGGTCCCCCAAGTAGTGAGTAGTTGCCTATCATAAATCAGTTGCATTCTACCTAAACTATTGGCGCTAGTAAAAAGATACAATTACCTTCACTCCCAAGTAGCCTCATCCAATCGACTCATATATGCATCGATTAAATGCTGTATTATATTTAATTTCACTTGTACTGAAAATGTAAAGTAAATATGTAATAATGATACAAATATCAGTAGATAATATTTTAAATAAATTGATTACAATAATGATGTTATCATAGGCAAACTACATTGACAAATTATTTCTACTCTTTTCGTTCTTGTTATGTTCAAGACAATTGCAATAAAATTGCTTTTTAAATGTAAAATAATGTTTAAGAGTTTAACTGATATACGGCTATTAAGATTTACTAAGTTTATTTTAGTTTGATACATGGTCATATATTAGACATTCTGTGAAGATCTAAGTCACTACAGTAATTATAATGTAAATTGCGATTAAACAAAAGAAGGATAATTTCATATTTACTTTCTTATCTTATAATTGTTTTAACATATTTTCATAACGTTTAAGAAACAAAGAAGTTTTATGCTAATAATCATCTAATGTTTTCTATTAAACTTGCTTTAGTATGGCGTCATGCCAAATGAAGGAGATGAGAATAAGAAGATTGTGTGACGCCAGATTTCAAAGTGAGAAGTGTTTGTTTGACTTGAAAATCGCCATTCAAAATATTAGGTTTTACTTGGGTTTAAACAGCGACCACTAGCGTCGTTGGCAGGGTAATGTAACCATATAACCCACAAAGCAGGCCTCGGTAACTAAGCTTATATTTGCCTGGAACAATACCTCAAGCATAGCGAATCTAGAAGAATCAAATTAGAGACAGTAGTAATGTTAGGTGATACTATATTACTACAACGTCACGGATAGTTGCCTCTAAGCAAGAGAGGAATAATATTAACCTTATTTACTACTTATTTTACTTATCTGATTTTAAAATGAAACTTTGTTGAATTTTGTACCATTAGAAATAGTAATTTCAGGAAAAAAGAATGTGGTCAAGAATTTGCGTGCTATTATAATCATTTAATGTTAAGCAAAAGCTTGTCGAAGAAGAGTAATAACGAGGTCATGAATTATTTAAATGAGGACATACTGCTGCGATATCTTGTCTGGTGATCCTGTTGTACACTTTGAGATTCTTGACACAATTCAAAAAAGGGTTTGTAATGTAATCGATCCTGACCAGGCATCTCGACTTCACTCACTTTCTCACCGACATGACGTGGTCTCCCTTTGTTTTTATTTATTTATTTGTTTTTATAAATATTTTCATGGCAACTGTTCTGATGAGCTTTTTTTACCTGGTGTCCTAACGACATGAATATAAGCGTGTTATTAGATTTGCAAATAGGTCTCATCGTTTTACTGTTGTACTAGCTATATGCAACCGCTACTTCTACTCTAAAAGTTTATTTCCTCGCACTTCTCCCCTGTGGAACTCCCTTCCAATTTCTTGCTTCCCTGATAACTACAATCTTTAAAAATTTCAAGTCAACGTCAATCGTCATTTTCTGTCTTCTTGAACCCTGTTCCTTTTTTGTCCTTTCCTCAAGCATCCCCACTAAAGTCTTCTTCTTCTCTTTCACCCCCTGTAACGCTCTGCGTTCTAGTGGCATTGTCGCCTTTCTTGGGGTGAAACGATTAAAAAAAAAATTACCGAATATCCTGTATGTCAACAATATCAAATAAGTATCAATAATTGCCGAATCTAATTAAGATTGTCAGCATATTTTTAAAGCGATTGACACAAAGTACAGCAAACTCATGTATTGTATTTGATTTATATTCATATATTATTTAAAATATTTTTTTTATTATAGATTATTTTCTCCGTGTCTTGTAATAAATTCAATAAGACAACTAGTAATGAATTACAAGTGATAATTACGCTGATACTTAATTTTTATGAATAAAAGCGGAAATTTAAAATTTATTCTTCTTGACAGGAATTAAGTTTGATATCTTAATTACTTATTTTACAAGTTTCGATCGCCAAAAGTTTATATAAAAAAAAGAAAACATATTCAGAATACCCGATGTAAGGCATTAGAGATTTGTAAATATATGAGTAAATAACAGAAAATCAAAACGTATATGAATCATTTTATGTAAAATTTAATCTATATCACATTATGCATGGATTCGCCATTATATTTTAAAATAACAAATGCGTTGATGCTACAATAGATCGTCTTAGAAATGATGTGCACCCCTAAATGGGAGTCTGATTTGTTTCATTTGATGCGTAGCCCGATAAAAAAAATAGGATTATGTGCGCTGTTGAATTACACCTGCTACCTAGACGTTGACGATTGTGAGTCTGTTGTGTCCTCATTACAAGTTACCAAAAAATAAAAAAAAGGCTTAATTAGAATAAACCTTAAAAGTATTTTAATCTAACGTCTTGTCGCTACTACAGAAAATCTTGGCTGTAAAAAAATCGATAATAACTGTTCAGGCTTTGAGTATTGTGCTTCGATTGGCTGACATCTGTAAAATATTTTTCATTGCGACCCTTTCTTATAAAAAATCTATCTATCTATCTATCTGTGGCTTTAAACATATAGGATCAATTATTCAATTGGGCCCGTACCTAAATGGGAACCACTACATTCGTCAAGTACATAAAACCAGGGCCCGTCAAAATTGTTCCTAATTGGGCCTCTAATTTAATTATCTATTTATGAAAATTCTTGTCTATCAGTTTCAATCTGTTTCTTCTCTCATTATCTTTTTTGGTGTATTTCTATTTATATATTTCGATCTGTTAAAAATAATCCATCTTGACAATGAAACAGTTACAAGATTTTCGTTGGCGCAAACATTTGGTATTCAAACAAATGTAATAATGAAGATTTCTAATATTGACTCACAAGACGGATAGTCACAATTTTTCCTCTCATGTAAAAGTCAGGATATTTATTTATAAAATCTACTACAGTGTTGCGATCCCTCTAGAATTTTGGATTAGAAAATTTGCAAAGGCCAAAATTAGATCTCCTTTTTTCACTAGGCTTGTTACACCCAATTCAAAAATGTTCTTTGTGCCATTTTTTTTTCAAATTCTTGCTTTGCCAAACAATAACGATGCTTCATATAAAACTGGTCGTTAGTTCGAATTTAGATATCGTTTTTTGTGTGTGAAAAGCACTATACAAAATATCCAACTTGATTTCGTGTTCATATGAAATTGAGTAAAAATACTCGTTATCTATCTATCTATCTATCTATCTATCTATAATGTAGCTTTTCTAATCTTATTTCCAAGTACATTCACCTATCTTATTTAACTGTTTTTAATTGACTTTGTATTTCCGGTCCTGCTAACCTATACATTATTTGCCAGTCAATCTTTCCAGTATTTATGAGATAAAGATTTCGAAAAGCGAGTTAGAAATCACGAATGCAGGGGAAAGGATAATAAAGGTTAAAAAAAAAAAACTGACATGCGCATCAGGGCGCCTAGATGAGTGGGAAGGCAGTTGTGAAATCTGCTTTAGTTTAATGGTGATAGTAGACAATATTCAGAAAATAATAGCAATAAAAGTTAACTAAATATTCTAGGCTATTTGATTGTATGATAATTTATTGGTTTTGTGGTGATAAACGAGAAGAGGAAGTAGAATTGACCTGCACATTAAATTTAGATCTATCCAATTAGTAAGTTTGTTCTATCTATCTATCTATCTATCTATCTATTTAGTTTAATATCACTTATCCGCTGATGGTAGTGAGTTTAGATTCATTGCCATTCATCTCTGGACGAGCTCACGTAAAACCCATGAATGACAGTTTTAAAGGAAAAGGGCGGATTTTTATCTTTCATGAGACTAGCGTGAAACAATATTTTCGCTTTTAGTTGTCAGGGAGACTTACGGCCATATCACGTTGAAACATTGGTTTTCGTACGATCACCGAAGTTAAGCAACATCGAGCCTCATCAGTACCTAGATGGGTGACAGATTGGGAACACCAGTTGCTGTAAGCTTGGCTGTACAGGTGGTGCAATGCATGTAACCGTCTTGAAATTTGAAACTGGAAAGCCGAGTTCCAATTCCAGTTGGGTTCGTTATATTCACTTACGCACAAATACTTTGTGAAAGGTATGAATCCACCTCATCTCCCCTACAGCTATTATGGGTTAATTAGTACAACTTGTATCAGTAAATCATTATTATACCCAAAGAAATTCTTACTATCTAAAAATATTTTCTGGCAAACCCGCAAAAAGTCATGAAGCCGTAAAAAAATCAATCAATTTAGTTTTCAGACCGTTATATTATTTATACAATCTACAAGTGAATGAAAGTACATTAGTACGTTAGTTCGGCACAAGCGCAGAATGCAATACACATAGGGTAAATGAAATGGGAAAATTATACTACAATGTTCTAAATAGTGAGGAGCTGTCGATTTTGAAAATCATTATTCGAAATCTTGACTAAAATGGAAAATAGCTAATTGTTCCAGCCACAAGGCATTCTCTTGAAATATTGATATTTGTTTAGCTTAGCTTAGTACGATACAAAGTGAAATGTAAGGGGCTCCTAGTTGGGATCAAACTCAATGCAGTAGTAATGATGTGCAAGACAAATTTGTTCGTTATTGATATTTAACGATGTACACAATATTTATTTTCTACACAAGAGGCGACAGTAGTGATACATCTGGTGAGGTTCAAATTCATTACACCAGATTATATTCCATAACGCTACATTAGGTCTATCTATCTATCTATCTATCTATCTATCTATCTATCTATCTATCCTCCCTCAAATGTTATAAGGATTAATAATTTATGGCATAAGCATATTATCGAAGTTTTATCCAATGTTCTGAGTCGATGAGAGTCGTAACACTCGAGCTTATTAAGTTAAGAATGAAATGTCTTGTGAAATATACTGAACCTAATTGCTATGATTAAATCATATAAATTTGTGTGTATATTTCCGTGTGAAAGAGAGAGGGAGAGAGAGAGGAGGGAAAGAGAGAAAAAGAGAGAGAGGGGAGAAGGAGAGAGAAACAAAGAAAGTAAGCAATAAATAAATTGGAAGTGTGTGGGTGATACCAAAATGAGAAGAGACATTTTGAAAAATTTGCATTGTAATAAAAGGTAACATTCCTGTCCCACCTTCAACCTCCTAACAAAAATGTACAATGAAAGAAAAAATAAGAATTAGAAATATATGTATAAAATTAAAACGGCCTCAGAAGTGTTAGTATTTTGTAAAGTGGAATGAAACGAAGGTAAAATTAAATTAACCCTAACCGAACAAAAACAGTTCACTTTAAGGGAAACAGACCACAGAAAACCTCGGACAACAAATAAGTAAGCTCATTAAATATATTTTTTAAAAAGGAATCCAAAGTTTTAAGATATTTCTCACCTTTGAAAAAATGCAATTGTCCTAAATTTCGCTTTAACGTTAACACACGTCCATTTGATCTAATCCAGGAAAACGTTTGGCTGTGACCAGAACGAAGCTATTCATTGGTTGGACGAATCCCCTTTTCTTCGTACACCTCCTACTTTCCATCATTTAAAAGTTAGGTTTATATCGTATTATGGAGGTGCTATGATTAACGTAGGTAATCTTGGCAATGGGCGTAATCATCGTGGTGGCGACCAAGTAGCTGAGCGAGAAAGTGAAGCTAATGTTATAGGTGGGGGATTTGGGAAGGTACCAGTGGTAAAATGGCGGAAATCAATGTGACAAATGGAGACTGCTACTCAACCAGCGGGTGTTAGACTGACGGTATCTTGAATATATAACATTTTTCTAATTACTATTATTATTATTATTTATTCGTTGTGTTCTCACATCTCTGGTAATAGATGTGGTCCGGATAGTTTCAGTTCTTCCTCGGATTTCCGAATCTTTTAATATTTTTGCAAAACACTTCTTCAATACAATGACGGGTATAAATGTTATCTTCATATTTCACAATGTTTTCAGTTCTCTGGTATTGTTTATTGTTATTATTGCACTTTCCATTTGACTTAGGCCCAAATGATAATAAATAGCACGGGAGCATCAACTATATTTCCTGCACGCTTTGCATATCATCCTTGTAAATTTTGTTTTAGTTTATAATAGATTACCCCGGTTGACACCTTTTCGACCCAAATGTCGTTTGGCAATGGGCACATGTTTCTGGGTTATTTTTTCACTCTGAATCTGAAAATCAAGTCCATTTTTCCCATCACATCACGTTTTCTCAGTACAGATAATTTTTATTTTTCTTAAAACAGGTTAAAATACCTATGTAACAGAGCCAATTAGAACCAACTTTAAACGTTTTAAAGTTAGAATAACTTATAAAATAAAAAGTATCCCAATAAGAAAAAAGTTTTCAGAAAAATCTCACAAAATTAAATTAAGGCAAACATGTGTCATCAATTTTTTAATCAAAACAGACAAAGAAGTTATAAAGGAATGAAAAATACATTTATTTTTGTCCATCCAAAGTTATAAATCTCTTGTTGGAAACTCTACGGTGCCTTTGAAAAGGTTGATCTCTTTTGATTCTCCAGCAGAAATCAGCCATCATGTTAACATCCCATCTGCAAAGTACCTAGTTGGCTATGCATATCTGGTGTTTGGCGGGTGTTTTAAGCGCTGATAAAGAAATTTCTAATCTTGCTAGTCTCAAATGCACTCGCCCAAAACCCTGACAACCCTTATATATCAATGTTCCTATGCATGCTATACAGAGACTGCATGACAATACCAGACCTTCATGAAGTCAAGTGATATGATAAAATCTTATGAGGGTTTCAGGCTTAAATGACGTCTAAAGAGCTTCTAAAGACTTTTAATGAGAGTAGAGAAGAAACACAAATCACAAAGTTTTAACAAGGTAAGAACTGTGGGCATAAGAACTTTTTTCCAGTAGGATTCTCTCATAAAATCAAGCATTTCCAGGTCAGCTTATCTGAACTGAAATAACTTAGAATTTATTTTGAAAGTTATTTGGATACTTTTTCTTGAATTATAAATCATTTTATCATGAAACAAAATGTTTCAACTATGTCACTCGCATATTTAAGCCGTGTCATATCCCAGAATTAGCCATATTGGCCTATTCCAAGCAAAATAGAAATTATCTGTACTGAGAAAACGGGATGTGATGGGTAAAGATGGACTTGATTTTCAGATTCAGCATGAAAAAATAGCCCAGAAACATGTGCCCATTGCTCAACAACATTTGGGTCGAAAAAAAATGTCGACCGGTGTTATCACATCAGAAGTATAGACTTCTTTCCAGTATTCATTTTGATTTCAATAATGCTGTTATCCTAATAGTTTCAATATAGTGATTCATTATTTTTTTGTTCCATAATTTGTTCGTTCCATCATTATTATTGACGTGATTACTCCATCATTTGTTTCCTTTAATTATTATTATTATTATTATTATTTGTATTTTCTTTGATTTCTGGCGTTTACACATTTCTTTCCGGGTCCCGCCCATTATTATTATTATTATTATTATTATTATTATTATTATTATGTAGAGTTTTGGGAGAATAAAAAAAGGTTTCTTCACTACTCAAGCTATCTCCTCAGCTGATTTTAATGATGTTGTGTTCTGGATGGTTGAAGTTTTTCCTAAGATTATTATTATTATTATTATTATAGTAATCTCCGTCCTATATTATTAGCCAAATAGAACTAGCTGAAGAAAAAAAAACGGTCCAGAGAATATGAATCTAAATCAGATATGGCGGCATGGCCTCATCATATTCCAGTTGAAATGGCTATATGTAACCGTAAGTTCTATGTTAACAATTTCTTCTATCGCATTTTTAACTTTTGGGACTTTCTTCCGGCTTCTTGCTTACCTATCAAATTTATTCTACAAAAATTTAAATGCAATGTCAATCGTTATCTTCTGTCTTCTTGATTCTTGTTCTTTTATTGTATTCTCTTCTTAATAGGATATTTTCCTTAGATTCTCTAACACTTAGTAACCTCTTGCGTCCTAATGGCTTAATGCGTTGCTTGGGATAAAATGATTAATAAAAAGATGTATAAGAAAATAACCAAGCATTTTTCGTTTAAATTTTAATGGTTGATTAGGCTTACATTTTTATATTTATTGAGCTAAATAAAAAGCCAGTTTATTGTCTGTAATATTGATTGTCGAGCACGGGGGCAAATGGAAGAAAATAGGAATAGGTGGGTTATCTGACGGTAATCTTCTAAATTATCTGAGTCTGCCTGTCCTAGTTTTTACTTAAGTTCGAACATCGACCACTGGCACCTGTTAAAAATATGCAACTATCTTATACACAAACACCTCCGCAACTTGAATATTTTTTTTTTTTAATACATCTAAATATTGATGTCAGTTTATCAAACTAGCTGCCTTGGCTTGTAAGGTAAATAACTTTGAAAGAATCTGATGCCATTCTATGAATACTTATATTGCATCGCATTGTTTTCATATTGTTCTGTCATGAAAAAAATGAACTAAATTTTCAAAAACGACCTGAGAATGTTAGTTAAAAAATTTACTTTTATTATAACAAATTCTTATTGTCAAATTTCACACAAAAAACCTCCGTTCACATTGTTTTGGAATGTTTATACATTGGTAAAATTAATCAGTGTCAGATACTGAGAAAATAAAAAACAGAGAACCTTTTATGTAAAAATATTATAAAACCGTTTAAAGCAAAATCGACTATGGCTTCAAAAATTATCTTGAAATATTCGGAGAAATCAATAAGAAATCCATCATCAAAATTTCTAATTAACTCAGATTCTGCCAAATTTTTTTTCCGATGCAGAGTCCAAAGATGGAATAATATGCAAAAAATTAAACCACTTCAATAAATTTACTATGATATTTAAAATGAAATATCATTGGTAAACTTTTATGCATTTATGTAAATAGAATATATGACCTAAATTATATGGAACGTAATAGAAATGATGACAAAAATGTGATTTTAGCTATTAATTTGCAGAACTTGTCA